ATATAGGTGAAATATGAAAGCCCTAGTATTCACCGTTCAAAAGTTGTGACCAAGGTTAAAGTTTTTAAAAAGTAGTAAAAACTCCAAAGTCAAAGGGTAATAGTTTTGGGTATTCAATGAAAGGTCCTCTGACAAGGACTATATATGCGAAGTATGAAAGCCCTAGCCCTTACCATTCAAAAGTTATGGTCAAGGTTAAAGATTTGTCATAATTACATAAATCTTCAAGGTCAAGGTCAAAGTTGTTTGTATCCAATGAAAGGCCTTGCAACAAAGAATACATATGTGAAATATGAAAGTCCAAATACCTACCATTCAAAAGGACAAAATAAAAGTTTTGAATTTTTGTGTAAAAGTGGGTCAAACTCCAAGGTCAAAAGGTCATGGATTGTCACAAGGAATACACATGTGAAATATGATATGAAAGTCATAGCTCCACTGAATCAAAAGTTATTGGCAAGGTTAACGTTTTTGTGACGGACAGACGAATGAGATATAATGCCCCCTCGCTTTCGCAAAAGCGGGGGACAACAAGCAACCTTTACATGTAATAAACAAATTATTTAAATGGGAATAAATAGAAATTGAGAGCTACTGTGAATGATTTTCTTTTCATTTAATACAATGACATTAAATCTTGATTTTATATCCATATTTTGAAAAATCAACTTTTCAACTGTTTTTTTTCTTCTTTTTATCATTTTTTTTAAAATAAAATCTTATCTATCAGGTGACAATGTATATTTCACCACCAATTCCGAAGAAACCAGTGCAGTTTATATGGAGTTTACCACATATGATCAAAATAACGACCCTCCCCCTACAAACTGTGCCGTGGCCTACGGTTGGGGGGGGATTCCGGAATCACGCCTTCCTTAATGGGCCCTGGGCCTCACCCCAGTGGTCAAACCCGTGGAGTGGTACAGTTCCCTGTGGATTGGATGTCAAGGAGACCGCTATTATGATCAAACGAGAGTAAAGTACAATGGGATACCTCAGACGTTATTTATCTGACAAGCTTTACACAAGGAATTTTAGCCAAGATATTACGACACATATTAAATAATCTTGCAATTCCCAAATGAATTAAAATTATTTATAATATGATTGTACAATTCCAAGCTCCTCAATTAAATTTATACTAGACAGAAGATAAACTTCTTATCTATACATGTTTAAATAGTTTAAAGAAAGTGAATCTAGAACACGTTGAACGATTCTTTGAGCGACCTTAACATTCTATGTTGGAAAATAATTACTTTTTTTACATAATTTTAGTTATGTAATTGTAAAGATAAGTACTGTATCAATATTCAAGTGGTAATCTAATTCATATTTTCTTCAAAAGATTTCTTGAAATTAAAACATATATATGAAATATCTCATTACCGATGGTAAAAAAAATATCCAGAGTCTAAAATGCTGTACGAAAGTAAAATTATATTTTAAGGATTACTTGTTTAATATTTTTATTCAGTGTATGTTTTCTTAACACTTTTTTCTTTCTGCTTCAGTTTACGAAGATGCGTTAAAGTGAGACTTTTAGCTATTCAATTTTTTTCCCACAATTTAATGATTTATGAAAAATTGCATTTTTTGTATTAATAAAGTTCTTTTAACTTATAATTGCAATTAAATTTTTAGATTGTAATATTAAAAAAAACAACTTTTGGAACATAAATAAAAAGTAGTTTTCAAGATTTAATTAAGGTACATGTAGGATTCTCCTCGTATTTCTTATATTTAAAAATTCCTGAATTTTTCACAGAATCAAGAAGACAATATCAGTAGGTGATAGTATCAGTGAAATTAAATTTGACAGTATTATATTAGAGGCAAGGTCACGTCAAGTTCATTATCTTTTTCCTTTACATTAAGAATAAAAAATAACTGTTGCCAATCATGTGATACCTACTTCTATTTCAAACGTTAATTGATTGTTCTTTTTGCACAAAAACATATTACTATATCGGGTCTATAACATGATACTACCAAATTTACATAAATAATTTAACTTAACTGGATATTGACTACTCCGAATTTTCTCTGTTTGTCTTAATTTTTTAGGATATATTAGTTATTTTCATATGCTTCCTATATTTAACTTTTTCTTATTTTCACATAAATAAAGTACTAGTCTTATAAATGTACAAAATGATACAAAAACAAAAAGTTTTGATCGTTTACTAAGAGAAAAAAAATATACTTTTTATGGATTTTTGGCTCAAATCTGCACTTTGATAGGAAGCGTTTAAAAGCTAATAAAGTTCTAGTTTGTCTGCAAAATCATATTTATTTGATATATTCTAAAACATTAGTCCCATATTATTCATTTAACTTACATTTGAAAATTTCTCCAAGTCTTCGATTGTGTAAAAATTATAACTAAATTCATTGTTCTATTACAATTTTGAGAGGCAGAAAAGAAGATATTTTCATACGCCACCATTTCGCCAAAAATAAAGTCCATGCTAGTTTTCAAAGCAGTTTAGCATTTCTATCTAAATGTGTACAATTGTGGTGAGGAAAGAAAAATATGGTCTTTTTAATTCTTTAACCTCAATACATAAGACATATAAGCAAATATACTATAAATGTTGCGTCTAGTCAGAAACCAGAGAAGAATCCTACCTTAAAACTCGTATTTGTTTTGATAAAACGTACTATAAAAACTACTGATAAAAATTAAAACACACATAAAAGATTTTATGTATTGATATGTTTGAATTGTGAATATTGTATCAGGGAAAACATTTAACATCAATTATTCAAAAAAGAAGACACGGTAGTTGGAGTTCTTGCCCTTATAAACAATTTCGAAACATTCATTTTTAAATCTTTTACATAACATTATTTCAAACCATTCATTGAGAGCATTTTTTGAAAAAAATATACTGTGTAGGAATTTTAAAGAACTTAAGTTTTTGCAGAACCCGTTCAAAATTTGGCTAAAATACCTGCCCATTAGTTCATTTTTTCTTACATTTGAGAAACCTTTACCTTGACCGTCAGCTTCAATGCGTAGGCATCAGTGTTTCACAGAAAAAAATCTTTTTTTTAAATTTTAACTTTTTTCTATTCGCTTTCTTAAAATCTCATTGAATCAAGAAAAGGAAAATAATAAGCACTTCGATTTAAAAGAAAGGAAGAAAATAAACAATGGTGTATAACAAGAACCCCTAGGAATTCCAGAAGGGGAATCAGAATATACTCAGGCAGTTTATTATTCAAGTGACTGCTTTGCACGTAAAGGCAAATAATATCCGTAATAAGCTTGAATGACTTTCTTAAGCGGATAAACAATGACATTATGTGATTTGTTTAACACGACGATTGTCCAATACTACAAAAAATAAAGCCATCAAATCGTGGCAAAGAATATGATTTTCTTGAATAATTTTCTATCTGTAGTGTCTTCATCGGACTCAGCATTATGTTATGTCCCGCAGACTTGGTCTATTGTATGTCTCAAAATCAATGTGTTTTGAAGTTTTGTATATCGTTTAAACATCTCGTCTTTGGATCAATGACTTCATCAGATAATGCTTTCACAGTTTGTAAAATACATTTTAATGTGAAAATAAATACGCTTTGAAATTCTTTATTTCCGGTAAATTTCATTAAACCTGTACATAAGTCGTGCATTATATTTATTGACTTAAATCATAGAAATAGTGTGCTTTTCAATAAAATGAAAACGCGAGTGAAAGAAGACGAAAATACCTGATGAATAAAATTCATTATAAAAATGCACATGAATGTACGTAATAAGACAGAAGAAATTATATGAGGGCAGTGGTAAGTTCAGAGGTCTGTGTGATGAATGTGATGCATGTTCTTTTTTATATGCAGTTTTTATAACGACAATAAGTGTGAAAACTTTATTGACTTCCAACCTCCGCCATTAAAAAATAAGAAATTCAAACTATTCGTACAAAAATGTTAAGTGTTGAATGGTTCTTTTTAGACCAAAATATTCCATACTCTCTCTCTCTCGCTCGTGGACAATAATTAGAACAATGACTACTTCCCTACCATACTTCTTTTGCTACTGATGCGACCAGTTGAAATTGGTTCAGTGGTTCCAGAGAAGAAGCTGAAAATATATGTTAACACACCACGCATGTCACACGACAACGGACGAAAACGGTTAGCAATAGGTCACTCAGGTGACCTAAAAAAACAATAACAATTATTTCAAGTTATAACGAAGTCGCTTGAACCCATGAAATTACTTCGCTGTATCCATAATTCGTTATAACCGTGTAAGAAATTCATTAAATTTATACAGCTCGGGATCCAATATGACTTCGCTATATCCGTGAATTTGCAATATCCGTGTTCGTACTAAACGAGTTTTACTGTAGTCTAAAACAGTTTCTTTTATATACATCATCAATATATGTTGAACTATTTCAAACAGAACAAGTAAAAGTAGATGACAATTACAATACATAGTCTTTTTACAATAAAATATACACAATAAATAGAAAGTATAAGAGATTGTTCTTTTCGACGTATCCGTATAAGTATACTATCAAGGCATCTCGATCCCGATGTTTAAACTGAATATTACTCTCATTTCGTGTTCGTTTTTAACCTCATATTCATTTAAAAGATAAATCATATAGGTCGTGTAATTTCATTTAAAACAGGTCGCCCGCGTGGCACGTCTGCACTAGAGGTGCAAACTCAGGAGATGATCCCGCGATGGGTTCGAATCCCACTGTGGGACGTAAAGACCGGTGCACCGTATAAACCGAGGTCCCGTGTGGCAGTAGCTGCTGGCACGAAAAAGATCCCTCACTGCTTAATGGCCGAGAGTTCCGAACATAGGGCAACATTTGCTGCTCTCCACTGGCAAGCAAGGGGGTCTACATAAGAGTTCTCGAGTGTACGCAATATACAATCATTTTAGACAGGCTGACATAGATCTGTCACCATACTGTTTATCTGCTCAAACGATGTCATTAATTGACTTATAATTATTTACCCTATTTTCATCGTTTGCGGAAAATAAACACAATGTTCACTATAATGATGATTAACAACAACAGTGAAAACAAGGCAACTCCTGACATTGTCAAAACCTCCGTAAACTTCTGGATACCGAGTATAATGGGGGAGGTGGATACATCTGTAAAAAAAAAAACAGAATCAAATCAAAATCAATTTATATAATTAGATGACGTATGGAAATTAATGTAAATACTCTAAAGTAGAAATTGTCCTATTTCTATGATTTTTTAATAACGGGAAGACTTTTGAATTTGAAAAAAAAAAAAACGAAACTTCCAAAATTCTTAATCGACGTGAAAAAGAAAAAATGATTCTTGAACAGTTAATGCTTAAAATATAAATGAACTAAACAAATCTGTGAAGAGGCATTAAACACTGGAAATTCCAGATTTGGGATCATGTGCCTAAGAGGAGTAAGCATCCCGTGCTGTCCGGCAAAGCCATGGGACTGAGCTCTATGTATATATCAAGGCAACTAGACATTGTGTAAATAAATGATGTATAAAAACAAAGATCTAACAATCGATATGAACCAAGTTTGCCAGAAAATAAACCCTGGTAGGATGAAGGTAGAAAAAATAATAAAGAGCTATTCTAACAGATCACGATCTATCTTTTCTTATAAATTCTGGGAAAAAAAACAGAAAATAAAAAACAGAATATGCATAATTCTGCACAACAGTAAAAGAAATTAATTAAATAGCATCGCTCTTACTTGTGTATTTTAAAGTTGATGTGTGAATTGTATTTGTGGTAACTTTTGGTGTTGTATCAATAGGATACATCGTTACTGCCGTTGTTGAAGCTGTTGATGATATGCGCTCTTTAACTTTGATATTTATCGATTGTTCGTCGATTTTGCAGGTTATGTTCATATCGGCTTTATATGGTATTATGAGCTGAAAACCATTTTCTAGAGCTGGAAAATTAGTCAATACAATATTATTGCATGTTGTACATGTTTCTTTTAAAAATAATACATTCTATACACCTAGCAGTTAAATTTTATCATTTTGTATTGAAGAAAATGGACATATTTTTGTGTTTTCTTACAAACTTTATTTAATAAAATCATTTCTGCAATGTACATGTACCTTGAGCCTCTCCAAAGCAATCATTTGTATGATTAACTTTATTCCATCGGCAATGTGCCAAATCGTCTAAGCCTACAATGCGTATACCACTGTCCGACATTTTGAATGATTCATGTTCGCATGAAATTGTTATATGGGAGTTGTTATGGTACGCCGTCGTTCTAAAATCTCTGACTGAAAGGAGAATTAAAGGTACTTGGACACAGATTTGAAGTTATTATTTTCTCTATAATATTACGACTTATATATTTTAATAGCACTATTAAAATATATAATAACACTATTAAAATATATAATTCGTGATATTATGCAGAAAAAATGAGAAAATATTAACTTCAAATTAACTTCAAATCTGTGTCCAAGTACCTTTAAGATACATAATATATATTTTGTACAAGCATGTATCTCATATTCCTGATTAATTAAGCAGATAAATGACATGGATCACTGACTGATTTTAATACACGTGAAAGAAAAGAGCTTCTGGCCATCAGATCCGTACTTCCATTTACATTCGACCTACTCAATTGACTCAAACTTTTAAAAAATTTTATATATTTTTAAATTTATCTACTCCAAAATTACGAAAAAAGTAGAGAGTTAGCTAATGCACGAAACAATCTTACCACATGGCTTTAGCAGAACGTTCTCCTGTGTTGTTTCGTTATTTTGGCACGTGGTTTTAACCAATAGTCTATTTCCTGCATGGTGAGTATAATTAAACAGTGTCAAAAATACTAAATGTCCACTGCTACTGTTATAAAAATTTTTCACTTTTTCTACATAGTGGCAGTTGATGTTTCCACTATTGTTCATACAGAGCACTAAGTCGTTTTTAAACAGTTTTGACATCAAGATAATCCGGAAGTTTTTAATGTCACACTTTATAGACATCTCTACTCGCACTTCTTCTGAGCGACATGTTCCTCTTTCTAGCTCGTCTGAGTTCGAGATTAGTCCTAGTATTCCTTTACAAAAGAATATAAGACATTCAAAACTTTAAAAAAAATGGTCAAACTATAAAACTATTTTATGAAAAAAAATTCTTGAAAATAACTTGTCATATTTATGTACGTTCATTTTTTTTAAGTTCACTGCCTACATGTTCATCTTATTATTAATAACGTGACTTAAATCTAATAATATTAATATGATTGGTTGCAGTAAGGTGAAATTTGAACATTGTAGAAATTGCAATCTCTTAATGTAGATATTCTAGAACTTCGAAGACAGTTAACATTTTTTTTTAATTTGAGAAATTCAGTATACCAATTGTAACAGAGTTTAAGGTAAAGATCCATACCATCCTATAGAAATAACGGAACTACAGATTTTGTTGAAACTTTTCAGAATCTTAACTGAGTATTTGTCCTTTCCAGATCAGTGTAAATTTTGGGGTCAACCGGGCCTCCTTTTGAAAGGATTGTTACTAAAAATAGACATTGTCTCGTGAAATGACGGAAATGCGGAAATTAAGATATTTATTCTAGCTTTCTAAAATTAAAAGCAAAAGAATTTTTTTAACATATGAATCATAGAGAAAATATGCTTGTTTAAATGTTTAATTATTTTTTTAATCTGCTGATCCACCTAATATTACTTTCTAGGGCGAATTAAACATATTTAGCTCAAAATTATAAAGTTCATTACTAGTAAAAATAAATTGCTGCTTGATATTCTGACTACAGATTTCTTTTTAAAATTAACACGTTATTGTCCAATGTTCTCTCCCTTATATGGCATAAAAATTAAGTGGGGCAGCGGGCATCAAACAAGAAAATTTCACATTTTTAAACCAAATTTGCTGAAAAATGATAATTTGAAAAATCTTTTTAACATCTATACTTTTAGGATTTGGGTGTAAAAATCGCTTTAAATATTTGAAACTATCGATAATAGAACAGTAATAAGCATGGTTTAAATCATAAGTTGAATATTTAATGCATAGACGGCCAAAAATTCGTTTTCACGATTCACAAGCATAATAGTAATCGGGTTCAATCTTTGGAATATTCTATAAACCGTTAATGCGCATGTGTGACGTTGCGACGGAAGTGAAAGAAGAAAATACTTTCAGTTTCAACATGGGTAGTTTGGATGCGATTTAGTTGATTAAAAATTTAGAGAAGTGGCACGTTTTACTACTTCTTGTGTCTATGTAATACATTTCTCGCTATTCATAGATACAAATAAGTGGTTTGTTTGCCACATCTTTTTAACGTCTGGTTTCTGATCTCAGGAAATGCTCGGACCTGTCCAAGTAAGGTTCAACGTTGTTTATCATGTTTTATTCATATACCATATAAAATAGATCAAATTAATGTACGCGGAGATGAATATGTTCAGTGTTTCCACTTTGTAATGTTTGTTTATTTAAAACACCGTGCTTACAGGCGATCATATCCTTGGAAGGCAGAGATCCCCTTCTTAAGCTAGGGACACTCTAGGGTGTCGAGTGGTTACGACCCGATTCCGTGTTCGACCCGCGTGGTAACGACCCGAGTGGTTTCGACCTACTTATAGTTATATACATACAGGTAAATAGAGGGGTTCACACTATAAGCACACTATAAGGGAACAAACCCCTTAGGTATACACATGGTTTCAAGGTAGCTGTATGGCTTCAGGGAGGGATACGTGTCAATTATTGGTTGTCGACATTGAAGTCAATAGTAAACTTGAGATTGATTTTAGGACAAGGATGCAATTAATTTCATTTGAAATAAATTATAAATAATTTATAAATATTTGAACATTTTCCTTAAAAACTAATCAGCCCTTTGTGGGATAATATACGTAATAATAAATGGTTTAGATAAACATAATTATTTAGCAATACTTTTAATAATGAATAAACAGTCACGATCGGTTAAAAAAATCTGAATATTTTGAATTAAACCCCCAAAAATGTTTTTAAACTATCGAAATTGTTATAATTAATATTGCTTTGGAACGAAACCACTCGGGTCAAAACCACACGGGTCGAAAGGGAAAAGGGTTGAAACCACGCGGGTCGAACAAGGAATCGGGTCGTACCCACCCGCATTCCACTCTAGCACTGAATGATCGAGGTTTTCTGTACATAACTCAAATTCGTTTAATAAATTCAAGCTCCATAGTTGATGACTAGAATTGCATTGAGAGCATCATTACTAAAGCTATGTCATTTAATTGGTAAAATGTGAAGTAATTTATGTATTTTTAAAATCAATAAGATTTTATAAATATATGAAAGAGTTCATAATTAAAAGGGTTAAGTAAGTCAAACAATAAAAAAATAGTTGTTTTATGTACTCTGACCGAGCTGTCAAAATCTCCCTTACACAATAATTTTTGTCAGCACTTATATTTTTTTTCTCGTTTCCATAGTATAATTTCTAAAGGATGCTTTTTGATTGAAATTTTCATGGCGGATCTAGTGGTGAGTGTGTGTGTTCCCATGGACATTGCAGAATTATTAAATGTACATACTTAACCTAGCAGTACAATTATACAATTATTCTCTGCCATCCTTGAACTTTTAGTAAGACGTAGTATTCTCGGCACTAGTGTCTTTCAAATGGCAAATAAATTTTCATTGGTTAAAAAATTAATAACATCAGGTACTTTTAATCATTGTTGACAATCATTAGACAACTTACCGGTAATCTTACTTTCTTATATGTCCTGAATTTCTATCCCGGCCACATATATTTCAACGATGAATGAAAGCTGTGTAAATTTTAGAGGCTAAATACATAACATCAAGAATATCCCGCCTTACTGAAAGTCCTAAGATAACAGTGAATTTTACTAAAAGTGACCTTGGATGGCAGGACCCCTACTTGGAAAAACTGATCTATGCAAAATTGGTATGAAAAGTTATTGGTATGATGCTTTAAAAGTCAACAACTCCCTGAGTAAATAGAATGTTCTATGTTAAAGTGATATTTTGATATGGATCCAGTGAGTTCCATGAGTTTTGACACAGATTCTCGAACCTGAAATTGTCTGAGCTGATGAACATCATTATAGGTACTGAATATTTAATTTGTATGTATACTTGTATATTAAAAGTACCTGAGGAATAATACATGCATTATGAACTTGGTCTAGTTTAAAAAAAACTCTTTTCTGTTGCTCTGTGCCTAAAATAAAAACATTTAATCAAGACATCCAAGATGGTTCAATTTGACTTGTATTGGAGTTTAGGCAGTTCAATTATACTTCTTTAAAATTGTATTCTAATAATGAAATTAAAAAAAAAAGATTTTTTCTTCTCCAGCTTTTTATCATCCTACATGACACAGCACAAAGTCCTAACTCATAAGTTTGGGAAGGACTCTTCATTCATTTGGGGGAAAATGGTTTGATACAAGTTTTGCATGCTGGTCCAATACATTATCTGGCTTTTTGGAACTGTGTTGCTTAGTGCATATTGATGTTAAAGTAGATAAATGTGTAGGTGTATAATATTATTAAGCTCAATATGATATCAAAAGCTATTTATGTAGGAAAAGAAAGAACTGAATAATCACTGGGAAAGTTATGCTATTTTTTTTTAAACAAGTATCTTGATAAACCAAGTTTAACATCAACAAAAAAAAACTTATATAATTGTCTCCCCTTTCACTGAAAGTGGGGATACTAAATTTAGGTCTGTGCATCTGTCCGTGTGTCTTTCTGTCTGTCTGTAACACTTTCAAGAAGCCTTTGCATTGAAATTTTACACAGCAACTCTCTGTGGCTCGAGGGAGACCCTTATTGATTTTGTGATCAAAGGCTCAAGGTAATTATGCAATAAATTCTGTATGTTGGAAAATTGATTTGTTTTTGAAAAAAAAACACTGTCATAACTTTTATGGGACAGTATTAATAATTTTCATTCAAATAAAAAGCTATAATCTTGACATAAATCCATAAAATCTAAACTGAAACTGGTTATCTTTGTTTTTAATGATTAATGCATGATTAAACCACGCAGGAACAACCTAATTGTATAATTATAACATTGTAAGCACTCGGCTTAACTAACAGAGTTGATTTTGTGAAATGTTGGATTGAAATTTTATCCTTTTCCTTATTCCTTTTTATATCACCCTCTATGATCTCATATGCATTCCTATTTATCATCTTATACATGTATTCCCTTCTTTGTTACTGTCATATTGTTATTTGTGGGTTTAAGTCTAACTATCATTACAGTAATCGTGTTTAAGTAGTGTGCTTTAATTGTTGAATACTCAAGTTATAGAGCTGCAATGGAGCAGAAATTGCGAGCGATAAACACAGAGGGACTAACAATAGAGTTAGGTATCGGCAAATTGGAAGATGAGTACCCAAACGAATGCTTTCCAGTGAAGTTCAAGCCAAGGAACGGTAAAGCTAAATATAGCAGATATGAAGAAATTGACGAGAATTTATACGAAGAAACTGCGAAAATGGTATGCTTTTATACCTCTGAAAAAAGACTTTTCTACTGGATCAAAGCATGTAACATTCTTTATTATGACAATGTTAGCAATATTGAGGGTATTGACGTGAAGTGGTCGGACAATCCCCAAACATGGGAAGATCCCAATGGCGGGAACTCTATTACAATAGAACTGCTTGATCAAGAGAACTTGCTTTATAATGTAACAATTTTCATATCAACTGGGACAATACGAGTACAGGGACATTATTATCAAATGTTCTCTAGACACCACTTTCCAATCCTAAAGGGATTGGTTTCCCAGATTACCACAAGAGCAGAGGAAACTCGAGAGGAAACTCGGGTAAAAGAGGTTACAAGCAGCACCCCAATACAGTACAGTCCTGAACCAGCATTAAATGTCTCGCATCTGAAAGTACTACAGAGCACCCTGATACAAAGCATTGACAAACTACAAATTAGTATTGAAAACAATACGTCATCCATTATTGATGCTATATCAAAAACATGTGCAGAGAAAATAATAAAAACAACAAATACAGAGTCATTACAACAGGATAATATTGTATTGAAATCACAGTTACAGCAAGAGAAAGAAGCCTTCATCCTGAAGTCTAGACAGCTTGAAGAATCATCTAAACATCTTAAACAAATGTTGTCAGATACACGTGATGAGTTAAATCGTGCCAACTCACAAGTTGAATATTTATCAAACAAATTATCTAATCAAAGAGAAGAACTAGAGGCACTGGATACTAGCAACAGGGAGCTGAAATGCAAACTTTCAGAGGTCCAAGATGAACTCATCAACATGAAAAGTGGTATTTTGTCAGAATCTACTGCGAGAGACAATTATAAAACAGTCGGTGCCAGTTCTAATGATAATGAGCAGATTTTACCTTCTGTACTTCTCCTGGGGACTTCCAATGTTCGAAATATCAATGAAAAAGTCCTAACATCCGCTGTTTCCACCACGAAATATGTAACCTACACAATTGAGGATGCAACAAAATTCATTGGTAGTTGTACATCAACTTACAATGCAATTATTCTACATATTCTCACCAATAACATAAAAAATGATGAGCCTAACGAATGTGTTACCAAGTTACAAAAGCTTGTTGCGGAAATCAAGACGAAATGGCCGGCAACTAAGTTGATATTATCCTTGACAACACCCAGAAACGATGGTCATCAAACAGCAAGCCAGCTCGTAAACGCTATGGTAAAACAGCAGCTACTGCTGGAGAAGGAGGAAAATGTATCGTTTATTGAGCATCACAACATGTTTGATGTCAGTGGTGGTGGACCCAACCTTTCCCTACTATCAGAAGATGGATATCATTTGAATGAAAGAGGTGTCTCTAAACTCGCTGTTAATCTTCGTAATGCAATTCACACCACATTGAAGCTGGGGTTACCTGTAAATAACCAGTTCAACAGAAGTAGATCGCGACAAAAAAATCGTTTCCGTGGATTTCCAAGAGGTCGTGGTTCATACGGTCGTGGTTCATACAACAAATAGTCAACTCTTTTGCTGATACTTGTACAATAATGATATGCAATATAAATTTAACTATTGTGTTAACAAGAAACGGTATTCATTGTAGTACCTTTAGTTATGTAATGTTTACCAGTAGCTCTATAATTTAGATGTATAAATGAATTGTACTTGAATTACGTGTAAACCTGTAATGCATGTAAAGAAATCCTTAAAGATTGGAATGTTATATGTTGGTAGCCTAATTAACAAACAAGGAAACAAATTGATGAACCATTATTTGTGCAAAAAATCAAGAAATTTGATATTTTTTTCTTAGTTGAAACACATGTTGGATATGATTTTCAATTTCCAGATTTTAGGTCCTTTGATTGCTTTACTGTCTGTAGACCAAAATCAACAAATCACAGATATTTTGGTGGGCTTGCTTTTATTTGTAACAAAAATTTGAGGCCTCATATTAAAATTTTGACTAATACTAACAAAGACTACCAGTGGGTAAAATTAGAGAAGGAATTTTTTGGCTTCAGGAATGACTTATTCTTATGTATAGTTTACATTCCGCCGATAACATCTTCTTATTGTAAAAATCTAGACAAAGATATATTAGAATGCATTGAGAATGATATTACAAGATACGCTAAAAATGGAGATATTATGTTATGTGGAGATTTCAATGCACGGGTTTCTGATGAACTAGACTTTATTTTAAGTGATAGTAATATGTTTGTACCCACAAATGCTGATTATAGATCTGATAAAGCAATTCGTAAAAGATTGAGTCAAGACGACATAGCGGATGCTAGAGGCAAAACTTTACTTGATATATGTATTGGAAATCAGATAAGAATTTTGAATGGAAGAATGTTTGGTGATTGTTTTGGAAACTACACATGTTTTACACCAAATGGAGCCAGTATCGTAGACTATGCAATTGTATCGGAAAATATTTTGTCAAGTATTTTATATTTTTGTGTTCATGAATTTAATCCATTAATGTCAGATTGCCATTCCCTATTAGAGTGGCAAATGTCAGCAAATTTTGTATTAGAACCCATACAATATCTTCCTAAATATTCACTGCAGCCTAGGTTTCTTTGGACTGTAGATTCTGCTGAAAAGTTCTCCATAGCCCTTACTAGCCCAGAAATCAATACTAGACTCAATAGTTTTGTACGTGATATTGTAATTGAGGACTCGCAATGTTCTATAAATACTGCTTGTGCAGATTTAACAGATATCATACTATCAGCAGCTAAGTTGTCTCTCAAACAAAAAAAAATTTCATTCATATGCAAAGATGGGCATAAAAATAGTAAAAAATGGTTTGATAATGATTTAGTTAAGATGAGCAAAAATGTAATGGAGTATGCAAAAATCTTTGCCAAATACCCCAAAGATCCTTTGGTTAGAGGTCATTTCTTTAAACTTCGTAAAAACTATGCTAAACTCAGAAAGTTGAAATGCAAACAATTTAAAAGCAACATTCTTCAGAAAATAGATGAACTACACCAAACAATCCTCAGGAATACTGGAATCTTATTAGAGACATTTCTAATAAAAAGTCAATTGATAATGGTAATGCAATAACTGCCTCTTGCTGGTTGACACATTTTTTAAATTTAAACACTGTCAAAGATTCATTTAAACAAAGAATAGCTGATTTAGAAAAGCAAGTTTCTAAATTAGAAGTTCGGACATGTTTTAATGAACTAGATTTTCAAATCAGTGAATCTGAAATATCAAAAGCAATCAGTGGACTTAAATGTAACAAATCACCTGGTCTTGACAGAGTTTCAAATCATATGTTAAAATATGGGCAAAATTCATTATTGGCAAGTCTGAAGAAATTGTTTAATGGTTGCTTAGTTAATGGAAAATACCCCAGTCAGTGGACTGATGGACTTCTAACAGTTCTTCATAAATCTGGTAGCACAAATGACCCAAACAACTATCGTGGAATTACTATTACAAATACAATGGGGAAACTCTTCAATAGTATTCTGAATTTAAGATTGGATAAATTTCTTTCTAAACACAACATGATAAGTGACTGTCAACTAGGGTTTACTAGATCAGCAAGAACTTCAGATCATATGTTTATATTAAGAAATATAATAGAGACTTATTGTCATACCAAAGATGGAAGAGTATATGCATGTTTTGTTGACTTTCGTAAAGCTTTTGATACTGTAATACATTCTGGCTTAAAATACAAACTTCTAAGATTATTTATTGGAACAAAGTTTTATAATATAATCAAAAGTATGTACAGTCAAAGTAAATCTTGTATTAAAATGAAAAATTCTCACACAGAATTCTTTGACATCAAACTAGGGGTAAAGCAGGGCGATAATCTAAGCCCAACCTTATTTAAAATTTTTATCAATGATTTACCTGAGTATCTTCAAGACACCCCTAATCCCATCTTACTTAATGATAAGGTAATTAACTGTCTTATGTATGCTGATGATGTGATATTGTTATCTCAGACAGCAGTAGGTCTTCAATCTAAATTGCATAAATTACAGTCATTTTGTAATGATTGGTGTCTGGAAGTGAATGTAACAAAAACCAAAATTCTGATATTTAATAAAGCGGGTCGTTTGATAAAAAATGAATTTAAGCTGTTTGACCAGGTTTTGGAATCTGTGTCTTCTTATAGATATCTAGGGGTACTCTTTAGTGCCTCTGGAACCTTCTCATATGCTCAGGAAGACCTGTATAAAAAAGCTCTAAAGGCATTTTATAAACTGCAAAAAGAATTTTTGTCTTTGAAGCCAAGTGTTAAAACATCCCTACATGTATTTGATCATACAATAAAACCCATCTTGCTTTATGGATGTGAAATATGGGGGAACATTAATCGACCAAGTATTTTTCGTAAAACCTCCAAACTCTCTGTATATGATATTTTTAGTAAGTTGAAGTGCGAGAATCTACACTTAAAATTTTGTAAGAATATATTGGGACTGCATAGGAAAAGTGCAAACTTCTCCTCATTATCTGAGCTTGGTAGGCTCCCCCTTCATTTTGATATTATAAAAAGTATTTTGAATTATGTCCATAGATTAGAATGTCTAGATATGTCATTCCCATTATTGAGAGCAGCATATTCTCAAAGTAAGATTAATTGGAGTAACAGTATACCATCTTGGTATGGAACATATAGTAAAATTGCAGAAATGATAAACTTTAATAAGGATATTTTGTCTAACAAATTGCAAACTTTCAAGATAAAATGCAAAAAACAGTTAATTTCATACTACATGAATGAGTGGAACTTGATTAGATTGTCACAAGAAGGTAAACTGGATACTTATGTTAAGATTAAAACAAATTTTGGACTTGAAAAATATTTACTATGCCTGCCATTTGAACAAAGAGAATTAATATGTAGGTTGCGTACATCTTCTCACAATTTACAAATTGAAAGAGGCCGGTACTTTGGCATTCCTAGAGATCAAAGATTTTGTACTAAATGCTCAATGAATGTTATTGAAGATGAAAAACACACACTTTTTGAATGTTTGAGTTTTGTTACAGAACGAGAGAATATGATTAATGTTATACAAAGACACTGTATCAATTTTTCTCATTTAAATAATGAAAATAAGTTGTTGTGGGTTCTAAATTGTGAAAATATTGAAGTACTTTCAGCTGTTTGTGAACTGGTTAGACAAGCCATATAAAATACTGATGCATATAATGTGGCATTTCTCTTTATAATAATAATAGGTGCATGTAAACACTGTATGTACTAAATTTAAAAAAAAAAAAAAAAAAAAAAAAATCTGTAGTGAAGTTCTTGTGAATTGATCAAGGGTGCAATATAGTGTGTCTTCTACATGTATAAAGAAATTAAAAAAAAAAAAATTGTATACTTCAAACACTTATTAAATATTACTTTGTTCATAAGATATGCAAACAAAACATGGTGAATTATAAAGTACCAATGCACTGTCCCGTGGTATCTTTTGCAATTTAGTGGAATATAGCTACTCAGTATGTATGTGTGTGGACATGTATATATATGTGTATGTATGTATGTGTTGGTATGTAAAAAAAATATATATATATATATATATATATATATTTTTCATTTCTGTGTATGTATATCTCTGGCTTTTTTGCATTATGATACACGATGGTACTTCTTTATATTTTTAATTACAATATGTATTTAAAGTTCACATGTTAGCAATTATTTCAACTTATGAACCATGTGTAAATTGATTAAGTATATACATGTACTAAGAACACATCACATCTTATTAATAACTATTATATGCTCTGTTTAATAATCATGTATGTAATATGCCCACAAGGGCCCTGATCTGGAATAAAATCTATTCTATTCTATTGTCACATATTATGTGTATTAAGGAATTTTTTGTCAATGTATCAATGTCCTTTCCTACTTAGATGAAATATTCTGGGGGGTTTTTTTATCAATAATTATTTTATGTTTCAGTGCAAGGATATACCAAATAACAGAGCATTAATATTTGTGCAGTAACTGTTTTATGTATGATATATACATTGTAAAAAAAAAAAGTTTTCCATAATTTTTTTTCAAAATCCTGAGTCAATCCCCAGGGGACGATATTTTAATTCAAACAATCGAGAAGAGAAAAACGACATATAAAAATCGGAATATTGAAGCAAAGTCGTTAGGTACCTGAATACTTGAAGAGCCTTACGTGGTTCGAAAATGGTTATGTACTAAGCCTATGTACAAACATGTAAGCAAACGATAATGACTTTCGACAAGAGAACCATTTATTTGTTACTCTGTATTTCTTCAACTTACAGAGACAAAAAACGACCCGATTGTCGAAGTCTTTTAGTTATCTTGTACTCGAGACAATGAATCTTCCATGCCATCTTTGTTGTACTTTCGGTTTGACGAATCATCTAAATTTAAACTCTCCTTCGATCATGCATCCCGGATAATAACTGAACATCGTATATTTATGCCTTTTATTTGTAAATTAATGTACCTTTTTTTACGGTAAGTGAAATCGACGTCAGGCATTTTTGATAGAATAAGCGTCGGGCGCGTTTGACGTAATAACGTCACAAACGAGAATAACGTCACATAACGTTATTTTACGTGGTATGGATCTTTACCTTAAAAGTGGCTATGTGTTGTAAATAGTGAGGCCACGCTCCTACTAGCAATAGCTAGTGGGTTAACCCTTTAGCTCATTCGGTAGAGCGTTGGATTTTAAATCTGAGGGTCGT